TTATGATGGTCAATACTTGATCTATCTCTTACTGTTACATCCCCGGGCAATGCCGGGCTCTCCTGCTAGTAGTTACTATGACTAACCTGTCAAAGGAAGTTATTTTTATCTCTTTAAATTAATCATAGTGATTTTAGAAATGGTTGGTTTGAATTTCAATCCAATGATATACTTATATCCTGAGTGGCAGTTATATATTTCCAGAGGTTGGTGTTCATGGTAAAACCCAGGATTTAGAATGCAAGAGAGGCAGGCCCTTCCCACACAGAAGATTGTAGTAAGAAGACAATTCCTATGCTTATTAGGCTTTGTACCATAAGAAGCTATGCTTAATAGTTAGAAAATATTCATCACCTGAGCAGATTTTACATATCCCATACTTATGACAAGTTATAGGTTTAAAAAAAAAAAAGAAGAAAAATCGACAGTAATCTAATATATAAAGGCATAGCATATCACAAAATATCCACTGAGAGTTTGTTGATTGATTGATTTTATTTAGCAGCATATCAAACTGGCTTATTTAATGCTGAAATCTCAATATTTTGAATGCATTTTTATGCCTTCAACTACATATTTTGAACATAATTTTATACTTTCAGTGCAAATATGTTTTTAGATATATAGTGTGTAGATGACAAAAATTATTGTTGGTAATTTTTTTATATATATATTGCTGGTAATTTCACTACAAAAATCTGTTATTGGTATTTTTTTTATAAAAATATGTTGCAGATAATTTTACCATAAAAATTTATTTTATAATTTTTAAGTTTTGTATTGATTGTCATTTTGCTATAAAAAGGTATTGTCAGTAACTTTGCTATAAGAATATATTGTTGGTAATTCTATTATAAAATGTATTGTTGGTCATTTTATTATAAAATGTATTGTTGCTAATACTACTATAAAATATATTGTAGGTCATTTTACTATAAAAATGTATTGTTGGTCATTTTATTATAAAATGTATTGTTGCTAATACTACTATAAAATGTATTGTAGGTCATTTTACTATAAAAATGTATTGTTGGTCATTTTATTATAAAATGTATTGTTGCTAATACTACTATAAAATATATTGTAGGTCATTTTACTATAAAAATGTATTGTTGGTCATTTTGCTATAAAAATGTATCCTTGGTCATTTTATTATAAAATGTTGCTAATACTACAATAAATTGTATTGTTGGTCATTTTGCACAAAATAAATAAATGCTTTGCTGATCATTTTGCTTTAGAAATGTATTGTTGGTAATATTTTTTTTATAAAAATGTATTTCTGATAAATATTATAACAAAATGTATTGCTGGTATTTTTATAATTTCCTATTGTTTTGATTTTTGATTTGGGGGTTCACTATTTTCTCATAATTGGGACCCTAACAGGTGCTACAACCCTGGATCAGGATGGACCTGGGAACAGCAGCAATTAAGAGGTGGTTCTATTCTCCTCAAAAACCTCCAATCTTTCGATCAGAAGCATTGCTGCTGGATGTAGTTTATCGTCATACTACTGCAGAAGCTAAATTTAATGCCAGTTAGTTTTTAACACAGTTTATAGTAAAAATGGAAACAATATAGTGTTTTATTATAAATCAGCTTCTTGATTTCAAAAGAAGCATTTACATTAAATTGGACATGTTTAAGTTTCTTTGAAATTTAACCTTTAAATGATTCAGAATCTCTTGTCATGAAATCTTTTCATTATATGTAAAGGCTTTTTTCTCCACAATTTAAATATTGCAATGTAGCCACCATTAATGTTTGTTGTTGTTGTTATTATTATTATTATTATTATTATTATTATTACTGTTTTTCGATTTCATCTACGTCCTACTCCACATATCACCTCAAGGTTCTAGAGTCCTTGTATATCAGATCCCGTGGGCCTTCCCTTTGTAAACAGAGAGAATGCTTACTGGGCCTGAATGTTATTGGACTCTACGTTCTTGAAATTCTTTTTTTTTCCCCACTTCCATTCATTATATTAATTAATTAAATTTACATGCTTATATTTTTTTTATATCCCAGAAAAATAAACTTGATAAGTCCTGGTACAAGACAAGTTGTTCTTTTTTAGCTTTTTAAAAATGCCATATAAATTTTGCCTTTTCTTAACTATTGTTAAATTTTGTACTATAAAAAACATTTAAATTATTATTATTACTATTATTATTATTAGTTATAATAATAATAAAAATAATAGCAGCAGCAGCTTCTTTCTAAGTACACTGGCCTGCTTGGGTGGCTAATCCCTATTAAAGATGCTCACTCAAATATATAAGTATTTCTTCAAAACGCACAGAGCCAGCTTGTGAATTTTATTGCAACTATGTTGAGGAGATCTTAGTTCATTTCTGGAACATCTAATCTTGCATGATCAACAGTTGAACAAGGCCAACCCACAGTCAAGATGACTTTTGACTGTGCTAGCTCAACTATCAATAGCTTCCAAAGAGTTTCATCTACCCAATTTCACTCACACGATTTGGTGTGGTTTTCAGACACTTCCCAACAGTGCTACACAGTGAGACCATCATCTCAGGCTATTATCAAGGAGTCAGCCATGGTGAGATTCAAATTTGGATCTCATAGATAGAATTCTAAGATTCTCAACACTTAGAGTCCCCCCGACCCATATATTTAAATAGCAGCATGAATAAAATGACATTGATGAAGCTGTGAGAAAACTTAATCAAATAAAAAAAAAAAACGTCTACAGTTATTTGGAAAGTAACCTCAAAGTCTTGAATATAATTTTGTAGTCTCATTCATAAAGCACAAATCCAAAAATCAGAGCTGCCAGAAGTAGCAATGGGCTCAGAGGATGTGACGCGGGATGGGGGGGTACCTATTATGGTGACCCCCACCCCCACCCCGATCCTCTGGTGAGGGAAGAACATTTTTTTTGTAGAAAATTCACTAGGTTTTAAGGCAATATATCAGAACTATGTGTATAATTTGAGATGCCTCAATATGGATAAGGATGGCAAAGATTGAGACTAATATTATACTGATTGGGCACCTCGAGGTGGTGTAATGGCTAACAAGCTTGTTTCACTAAAACAATTACGACTGAGTAGTGAGTTCAATCCTCACTAGGTACCCCATACTTTCAGCCTTGTGCCACATATAAGCTACGCTTAGAAAAATCATTTGGGCACCTCGGCATGGGGTAATAGTTAGCAACCTTGTATCGTTAGAACAGTTATGACTGAAAAGTGAGTTTGATTCTCACTAGGTGCCCCATACTTTCGGCCTTGTGCCACATCTAAGCTATGCTTAGAAAATAAGCATATTAGCAGTCAGTTATGTGCTATGCCGGATACATGCTTAGGCGATCATGTATCAAAAGATACATGACTGACGAGGCAGATTCTTTTCTTGCAGTAGGTTGCTGTTTATTTCTGTGATAGACCAGTTGTCATCCAAGGCTACAGAACCTGGTCTGTACTGCTATTTACCCATAGCTTAGTGGGGAGGGGAGAAGAAAAAGATTCATACCTTTCCCAAGGGTATTATAGCATATTATACTAATTTTTTTTATAAGCTCTTCTTTGTGAGCCTGACAAGTGATTTGATTTCCATTGTTTCTGGTATAAGAAAAAAGGAAAGTGTAGAAGAGAGACAGAAAAAGAGAATTTTTTTTTTGTGACTGCATATGAGTCTATTAAAAGGTTCATAAGAATGTTTTATTAGTTTGATAATGATTCTGAAAAGTGTATTTATTATCATTGATTGGGATAACAGTATGCCAACAAAATAGTGAAGGGGTACCAATATACCCATTGGGATATCCAAGCTGATACGACTATATCAGGCATGTTTATCATAGCCAAATATACATGATATAGTGAGAGATTTTAATAAAAGCAACAAAAACTTGTAAGCCCACTTATCACTCATTTTAGGTAACCCTGTCTGCTCAGACACTCTCTGACTGAGAGCATTCCCAAATATTTAGATGTGACTCCCAAACTGCTTCCATCTTCAAACTTAAATCAAAAAAACTTCTTGACAACTGGCCATGATCCTTTTGAACTCATAAACAGAGATGCACAGTGTGTCAGCCTATAGGGGACATGCCCAATTAGTCAGGGTCAGTCAATTGACAAGCAAACCTATGAAATCTATGTTCATCTTAATTCCCCAAAATAAAGCATGTACAAGTTAACACATCCAATCAATTAGTGTTAGAAGCCATTATTATTATTATTATTATTATTATTATTATAGACTTCTACAACATTATTATTTGTTCAGTATATGGTAGGTAATATTTCTTACTAAAGCCATTAGTCAGCTTTCAGACATGTGGACTACATATTGGAGATAACAAAATCAAGTACAAAAATTTTAATATCTGTTTTAACAGAGGACAGAAAATGTGTTACCAAAATCCAAAGACACATTGGGATAGTGAAAGCTGCCTTCCAAAAGCTAAGCAAAGTATTAAGAAAGAGAAAAATTTCATTAGTCACACTTAGAAAGATTCAGTTGAAATTTCTATGACACATAATGAGGAAAGAAGGTTTGGAGAATTTGATACTTACAGGCAAGGGTGGATAGAGGAAATCAGTGCATAACCTAGCTAAAGAGCTTGTGTAAATAGTTGGCAGAACAAGGATTAGAAGAGACCGCAAAAAGACAAATATAACTAACAGCTAAAAAAAAAGAAAAGAAATTGTGGAGAGACATGACGGCACACATCCTGAATTGATTGATTCATTTTTTACAGCTTATCAACCCTTTGCAGATTATTTAAAACCAGAAAATATTTTTAGATTGTAAGGATTTTTTTTTTTTTTTAGATAATAATGGTTTAGGGATACAAGTCTTACTAATTAGACCATAGCTGGGGGGAGAAAAGGTGGATTCATGCCTTTCCCAAGAGTATTTGCACATAAGTGAATATAACAAACCCAAACAGAATTGGAAATCGGGTCACTGATTAACAATTCCAAGCCATTATCCATTACATCACACACATCCAAGCTTACTGTACCCGATATTCCCAAGCAGTCACCCATCTAGGTACTGACCAAGCTCAATGTTGCTTAACTTCAGTGATCATATGGGAACTGATGTTTCACCCCCTCCTGAAAGGAAATCACATAGAAGAAGAAGAAAAAGAAGAAGATAAAAAGTGTCAAAGGAATTACTTCATCTGCATACGCTTCACTTCCCATGGTCATGATTTATAATTGGTACACTTTTGAAAACACTTACAAAGAAATGGCCCCTGGCAGAGCGATAAAAAAAATATGGACATATGGAGTCTCTTCTACAGCCAGTTTTCACTTTTTTTTCCACAGAGTTACCAAACAACAGAGATTACAAACACAAATGTCCTTTCATTGCATGCCCCTTCAAATTAAGTTCCTACTTCAATGTATAAAAAGCTGAGAGCAATAGAGAGTTCAGGTTTTACTGAAAGGCAATAATCTTCTTTTTTTTTTTCATTAACCTATTCCAAAAGATTTTTTTTTATCTTCGATTACCCAACCCCAATTGTGGACACTTTGATTTCATTAGCAATGAAGAAGTCATTTCTACCGGGATCAATTGAATTAATTTGTGGAAAGCCTTTCTTTTGGTGTGTAATGCCAATCAGTGAAGCAATGAACCATAAAAAAGCAAGCCAAATTTGCAACCTAATTGCACGAGCCCAGACAAAAGTTGACATAGCAGACAAAAGCTGCCAGACATTAATGGGCCATTTTTAAATTGATTCATGGCCGATTCAGGCAGTGAAATTATATGAAACCAGTAAAAAATGAAATTTGCATTTTCAAAGTCTCACAAAGTTCATTGTCAAGAAAGAGTTCCTCAAATGATAATTCAATTAAGCGTTTTTTGATTTCAAAACAAAAAAAAAAATGAAAAATAAGATAGAAAAATAACATTTTTTTACTGTACCTAATATTACAACTATATACTTTTTTAAATTTTACATTAACTCACATTTAGCAGCATATCAACCTCTATGGGTTATTTGATGCTGAAATGTAAATATTTTTTAACATATTTTTATGCCTTTTGTACATAATTCTATACTTTCAGGGAAAATATGTTTTTTCACTCAACTAACACTTTTATCCACTGGACCACAAGGACACAAATGTTGGTTGAGTAATCTAAAAAGTGACTTGACCCAAAGAGTTGTGAGTTCAATCCCTAACCACAGCAAAGGGAACAAAAAGTTATCTTTGCATTTTTCTTCTGTTATTAAAGTTAAGACTCTTTCAGTGCCTTGTCTGCATGAATTTACGCATGCTACTAGATTGGCAACTAGGTTTCACCATTATACTGTTGAAATAATGAGATACAACTATGTTCTATGAGTTTCTTTTCTCACACTTCTCACCCGTGGAATCCCTTTTGATTTCTTGCTTCCCTGCCAACTACAATTTTCAGAAATTTAAATGCAATACCAATCACTTATGTCCTCCTTAATCCCGTCCTGTTATTGCTGTTTCTTCTTACGAATGTCTTCTCATTATCGTTCATTCTCAGTAAAGCCTCTGTTCCCTAGTGGCTTCACTGCTTGGCTTGGGGTGAAATAATTAAAAAAGAAGAAACTTTTACACTATTTACATTGTTCAGACTATTGTCCTCATCTTCATTGCTATATTTACAACACTTCAGCCATTGTACATGTCAGCCTTCTTCAGGTGATATATACTGGAATTTTGAACCAAACCCTTATTTAGTCCATGGAGGGTAGATTGTTCTAATTTATCCACTGGGCCATGGGGATAAAAGCATTGGTTGAGTAATCCAAAAAGTGACTTGACCCAAGTTTAACAGCATATCAATCTCTATGTGTTATTTGATGCTGAAATCTAAATATTTTGAACACATTTCTATGCCTTCAACTACATATTTTATACATAATTTTATACTTTCAGGGAAAATATAAGTTTTTTCACTCAACCAACACTTTTACCCACTGAGTCATTAGGGCACAAATGTTGGTTGAGTAACCCAAAAAGTTGTGAGTTCAATCCCTAGCCACAGCAGAGGAACAAAAAACTTGGAGAGTTGAGTTACTAAAAGGAAATTAACTGAAACTGAGATATCCAAAAATGGCATATAGAATTACAACAATCTATCACCATGGACTAAATAAAAGGTTTGGGTAGAAATTCCAACATATATCACCTGAAGAAGGCCAGAGTGTACAACGGTCAAAACATCATGAATATAGAAATAAAGATGAGGACAACAGTCTGAATGGTGTAAATAGTGTAAATAATTATAATACCTCATCTCAGAACACAGACAGAAGAAACTTTTATGAATTCGAAATAAGGTTTTCTTTTTTATCATGCTAGTTCTGTGAACAGTTTTCGCTAACACTTTTTAGATTACAGTCCAACAATCTAACTCTCCCACACCACCTCCACGGGTGATCATCTAGAAGAAAAGCAATTTCTTTTCGCTGAATGGTATTCCCAGCTCGACTGCTGTCCCCTTGGACACTTGATCAAGAGCTCATCATGTCACAAAGTAAACAAACAATCTTAAATACTTAAACTGACTTCACTTTGGGTCCTGTCTGAGACATGGCTTTCTATGATGGCTTCTTTTTATTGGACCTGGGGTTGGGCAGGAAGTTCTGCTGACAACAATGAGGATGATATCTAGCATCAGTAACACATGGCAAACATCCAAGGGGGATAGATCATTCCAAGATGTGGAAAAACAACCCAAGTACCAGTCCAGTCGGAAACTATCAAGTGATCCCCCACCAATGGCCTGCTTCCTTCACACACACATTAACTGTACATGCTTATCTTTATATATGGATAAGACAGACAGGAAAATATACAAATGAACTTTAATGTGTATACTTAATGACATAGAGGTTCTCTAAAAAACTGGTGTTCATATTACATAAAACCAATGTCACAAATTTGTTAATTAAAAAAAAGGAACTTATTTAGTTGGATTGAAGTATTAGAAAATTGTATTCAATTATTATTGCTCTATTTTTTTTCTTCTTTTTTTTTTTTTAAAATCATTTCACCCGAAGCAAAGTGATAATACACTATTAGGACACAAGGTGTTACTAGGAATGAGAAAATTTTAGTACAAAGGAAGGACAATAACAGAACAGGATTCAGAACAACAGAAGTGATTGGCATTGCATTTAAATTTTTGAACAATGTAGGTGGCATGGAAGCAAAAAATTGGAAGAGAATCCACAGACAAGAAGTGTAAAAAAAGAAACTAGCAGAATAGAACATATGGTTGCGTCTGCCTAGTGTGACAGTAAAATGATGAGACTTTATTGCCAATCAAGTTACACACTTAAATTTATGTAGTTGAGGCACTTTTTATGTGCTGTGTCCCTTCAGGACGTAGGCGATCATGGCTCTCCACTTCCCCCTATCCCTTGTAGCTCTCAGTAAGTTTTGTTCCTCTGCCACCTCCACCAGACCACATTCTGTCATCCACTTGCTCATACCCACCAGGTATGCCATGTGTTGCTTTCCCTTTCCCTCTCTTTCCTTCTATTCGACCTGTGAGCATCAGATTCTCCAGGCTCTCCTTTCTCATTACGAAATTTCAGCTGCCTCTTCCTGATATTAAGTAGAAGCCTCCTCTTTGTTTGCATCCTCTCCAAGACCTCATCATTGCTCACACACTCAGTCCATGATATCCTCAGCATAGTTGTGGCACTAAAAGAGTCTTTACTTTAATAAAAGAAGAAATCTGTTTTTTTTTGTTTTTTTCATAAAGACAATGTTGTAAAAAATTTTAAAAGCTATAGATGTAATATTAGATACAGTAAAAAAAATTATATTTTTCTGTTTTTTTTTTTTGTTGTTTTGAACTGAAAAGACTTAATTGAATTTAGATATTTGTATTCAATTACACTTAAATGATACAGTTTGTATAGATGAACATTTTATAACATAAGAAAGAACTACTAGTTTTTTTTAGAAAAATAATGAGCATATGGAATAAAAAGAGATAACATACTAGGTTTAATTAAGCATTATAATCAGTTTTAATAAAAAGCTTTCACCTAATTCACAAGAGGATTTTTAATCCTTTGATTATTATGAATATACAAGGGTGAGATGAAAAGTTCATAGGCTGACTATGAATGATTTTATTTATTTTTTACAGTGAGGTTCATCTAGTACAAGGCTTGGGTGCCACACTAGGTAGAGGATTACAAACTAAGAGGCACAGTTCTTGCAGATATGTGGGGAAGATAACAGTTAACCCTAGACTTGAACAGGTTAAGATTGTAGTGATCACGAAAACATCCTCTTGGGAGTCAGTTCCACAAAGCAGTAGTTCATGGGAAGAAGCTGCTTGAGTAGAATTTACATCTCACCAATGGAATGGAAGCAGGGATAGAGCAGTAAGAGGCTTGCAACATATCGTCTGTGAGAGAGAATTTACAGGGTGGAAAATAATTTGTCACCCACAAGGACCCATAGATGCATTTGAACTGGAAAGTGAAGAGTGGGCAGCTCCTGCCCAAATATGACCGCAGTACTCCATTTTAGACCTGATCTGGCTCTTGTAAAGGTAGAGGAGTGAATGCTGAGCTGTGAAATCTTACATGTATTAATTTCAACTCTTCTTATTAATAACTCCATTGAATCTTTCCAGGTAAACTGACATCTGACTGTTCAAATAAGTAATGCATAGCAACTTCTCTGAAAATTGGACAAACTTTGGCATCATGGTTTTATCAAGAACCTGAAGAAAAAAAAGGTGTTTAGACCCCAATGACATTTATACTGACATAGTCGCTACATTAACTTTATCAACAATGCCAAAGTGAGCAGTTGAATTTAGAAGGGGATGGGAGAGTCTTCCAGATGACCCAAGGTCTGGACATCCTGTAACCAAGGAAAACATTGATCATGTTTCCAAAATGATATTAGCATATCCCATGAGAAAGTTGAGAATATTCTGAACTTAGCATGATAAAGGTTTCTGTTCAGTGGATGCCACATCTGATACTGAATCAAAAGTTCACCAAGCTAATCACATCATGGGGAAAATTCTGACATTGTTTCAGGCAAATCCAGCTGCTTTCCTTGAATGTTTCCTACCCCAGGATGA